TTTTTTAAAAAATTTTCCAAATTTTAAACATATTTCAACATATTAGTAAACAAACCAAACATGAAACAAGAAAAGACATCCAATTAAAAATAAAAATCACAACAAATACATCTAAAGAGAACAGTTCGGAATTATTACTTAAATGATCAAATTGTAAGAGATCCACTTATAATTTGTGCTCTTGAAATTAGCAGACAGCTCAGTTCGAAAACTTAACTCGAAAAAATTTCACTAAAGAGTAAACGAGGGAGGGGAGGGAGACCAAAATTTTCGTTGTGATTTTCCAAAAAATTCAAAAATCAGCAACCATTTCAACGATTAAACAATTAGCATCCAAATAATAACAAACAACCAGCAACATAACAAAGAATTAATAAAAAGAATCCAAGAAAAAAATAGATCAGCCTGCTAGTGGATAAGTACATTAAGTTACCTGCGCGAGAACGAGAAACTTGGTGATTGAGCGAGGGCGAAAGTTGGATAGAGATGGCTTTTGAATTCGTTGCATAGAAAAGATCTCTTCATATGCGGTCTGGGTAGAAGTCCTATTATTGTTATGCATCTGAAAAAAAAAAGATTGATTGAAATAATATTTAAAACAATAATTTCTTGTATTTGCATCATTTGAAAAGAAAGATTTCACTAACCAGGAATGTAGTAGTGTTGGGCCTCTTCGTTTCTACCCACTAATTCAAGCCTTCGTCGTTTAATAGCTCTATCATTAATGACAGCCTTTGTGGCCTTTGGGCACCATTCCAAAGAATGGAGCTCCATCGTGGCTGTAATTTCGGCATCAGAGCTGACATGCGGCATATCAATGAAGTGGCCGCATTTCTGGCAAAAGCCTGAAACAGATAGGTAACGATAACAAATAATTCTTTCAAAAACTTCTCTCTACGTATACTGAAGTTCGAAGATAAACTTACCACTTTGTCTATGCACTTTGCTAGCGTGGATTCGCCATCCCTTTAAGGTTCCAAATTCTTTCGGACACATGCCACACTCTGAAAATATGACAAATTCGTATTGGATTCATACATAATATCTATGTGAAACTTTCCCATTCACTAATAAAATATAATTAAATTTACCAATTGTGGTTGACCCGTCAGCATTTCGAATCACGATGTACGGGTCAATTGGTGGCGTCACCAGCAGCTGTTGATATTGTGCCGGTAATCCCTCCACTTCCGGCGCGTGGAAAGCTTCCGGGGCTACTGGTCGTTCTTCCACAATTGGAATTCGTATTGTCCGAGAACGCCTGAAAAATATTCATGACTAGACATCATTCTTTCAGTGCTTTTAAAGTAGTTCTTATAAACTTAACTGTTTATTCTAACATGCTCATTTGCAAGCACACTACAATTAAGAAATAACTGCATTG